TCAAAGTGCCGGGGCTTTGGCCTAACCCTAACCGCCGACATCGCTGCGCCTCCCTCATCCCAAGCCGCCGCAAGCCCTAGCCGCCGAAGAGCTGCCCGCGCTCGTCTCCGCCCACGCTGCCGTCTCCACGCCTCCCCGCGCTCCAGAGCTGTTGTCCCGCGCCAGCGCCATCGCGTAGTACTTCCCCACGCTCCCAAGCCGCCTGTCTGCGCCGCCGCAGCTCACCTGCTCCCGCACCAGCACCGCCGTGCCGTGCCATCCCGAGCCCGCGCGACACCGAGCTGCCTCTCCCGCGCCGTGTCCTACGCAGCCGTGGTCCAGAGTCGCCCCTCAGCCGTCCGGCGCCGGTAAAGCCTTGTCCTATCGCCGTCGTGCCCTAACCCACATTGCTTTGTCCGTAACCTAAATCAATTTCAAAGCATTGTTCTCAATTGCATTCAAGGCCGTCGATTCACCGTAAACCCTAACCCCAGATTCGGTGGATCCCCGCGTGTCGCTTATCTTTTCGTCGGATCACCGGTTCGTCAGGTAGCAAGCCAGTCGTTTCAATTTCGTATCTAAATTGCTTGCTTCCTAGGGTTTCGCATCTATTAGGTATATTGTATTTATTTGTATACCCTATCTATTCCATCGTGCAGCGAGTCGGTGTCGATGAGGTGTCAGTGGTAGTTGTCAGTTAACTCGGAGCCAAGCTTGCGAGTACGAAACGAGGCCAAGCCTCGAAAGTGTCAGAGGCAGTTGTTTCTTGTCAGCGGCAGTTGATTCTCTTCAGATTCATCAGATGGCTCGCACGAAGAATGTCGGTGGTGGTCCAGGAGACGAGGATCCGAGGCGTCCACCTCGCTTGCCTGCAGATCCTAAAGGCAAGGCGACGAAGAAGGTTGCATCAAAGAAGCGCAAGTACCCTAATGCAGAGACAGCCAGAGCAACTGCAGTTGCTGAGGCTGCAGAGCGTGCCGAGAGATGAGGTACTCGCAGTGGAGTTGTTATTGCAGATCATCTGTCTCCAGAGGTGCAGGGTCGACTTGAGCGTATTGAGCGTCTTCATGGTGGTCCACCTAGGACTGTCATGATGGCAGGACGACGTCTTGCTATTGAGGAGCCTCAGCCTCAGGGGGAGCCACAGCAGCAGCCCCCGCCAGCAGAGCCGACAGAGCAGGCTCAAGAGGGAGAGCAGGCAGAGGAGACAGAGTAGGCACCTCAGCCACAGTTACGCCGCTCTGGTCGCACTCGTGCCCCAGTCACACCGAGAGAAGATACTCAGCGGAGGGGTTCTCGTCCACCGCCCAGATCACAGGGTCCACCTCCAGTGACCCATCTTGACTTGAGGGCCGCCACGGCCAAGCAGGTTCAGCAGCTGAGATTTGTTGATTTTGAGGTGTGGTTTTATAATTTACTCTCTAAATTATTATTTGAAGAGTTATTTGACTAAAGATCACTTTCTATATCTTTGTAACCTTCAAGAGCTTGAGCAATTTAGAGAGCCATATTCATTCTCTATCCTTAGCTAGTGAGAAATTCAGAATACAAGATGTTGTTGCATTTCTTTTAGGACGGATGCGCTGTTTGGCAGGGCTTGAACTTAGATATTTATGCTAGATTTGTAGTTTGTTGACTAAATTAAAGCGATTTAAATATTATATTCAATCTAAATTATAAACAAAATGAGTCATGTAAATGCACTTGGCATGCTCAAGATCCATGATTTCCTAGAGCCAGAGCTCAGCCAAACAATTTAAATCAACTTGTAGAGTTGTTCTAAATCAAACTATATTAAAGCCAAATTTATATAAAAGAGAATCAATATTTATTATGTATTACATAATAAAATATACTCATATTTTCATTGATGTTGTATTTTTCTGTGAAATCATTCATCCTTAAGATCATTTTATTACTTGGGTTAGGGATTGATTTATTTAAGAACGGAAGTACATATAAATTTGGTCTATCCATGTTGCTGCCTCAGTGCTCCATCACATGGTCAGTGTACACCCAACCAAATATCAGCAAGTCTAATGTGTAACTAATCTCATCAACATGAGCTCGCACTACAATTATTAATTTTCCAGATCGCTAATCTTCAGAAACACGGTTTTTTATCAGGTGCATGATCAGAGCATGCTTGCTGAAAAAACATATCAATCCTATTTCAGCTTCAGGGCTGACTGCGACAAGGTAATAATCTGAGCATCGTTAATTTCATAGTTCGATGGTTTCCTAATTAGATGTACATGTAATTATGCTACTGTAAACATATGTTTGCTATACCTAACTTCGTCTTCTCCTATGCTTCTACAAATTCTATTTTCCTATGTTACCTATATTTAAAAATAATGCAACGTTCGCCATTATGAAGTCAGCACGATTTTGTGGCCACGAAAACTGTTGTACAAATATATGGTCTGCAAAGAGACTCCCTTCCAATAAAATGCCACTTTCTGTTTTTCTTTGTTCCTTTACATTTACCTCCTTTTCATCTATCCAATAATTGAATGTTTGTTTTCTAACAATCTAATTTCTCATTCCAGTTGAAAGTTGTGTTGGCAATGGTCTAATAAATTGCACCTCACGTGCTGATTGTACTGCACTATCATACCCCATCATCACATTTAGGGCTTGTTCGGCTGGTTTGTTTTTTTTCTCACGAAATCACTGTTCATGTCCTGCCAGAACATTATTTTTCTCTCACAACAATCAGTCGGAACAGTATTTTTCAGTCCTGCCGAACAGGCACTTAGTGTCCAACATTGATCTATTTGTCATTTTTTTAAATGATCTATTTGTCAGTTTTAATTGTTTGGGCCATACTCAATACACTTCAACTAGAATAGTTACATATATGAGATTACCCTACTATAGCAAAGCATCTCTTTTGATTTTCAATTAATGCTATATTCGTTTGGTTTATAAGCCATATCTTTTTCAGTTAACGAACGAATCAATCAATATTACTTTTAGCCATGGTTTACGGTGCCAAGCGATCAGGGCAGGCTGATCTGACGAAGACACAACCGCACAAGCCACAGGTATCTAGAATCATACTAGCCTTGTAGGGCACTGATTTCGCCGTAGGCCTCTTCTGGCGCCTGTCCTCTGGGCCCACTGGGCGTCCCCTCCGAGCTTCGATGTCCCCAGCAAGTCGCTGGCTGGGCCGGGTGCACCGTGCATTTCCAACAGTACCTGGCTGTTGTTGACCACCCGTGGAGCCCTACACCCACCTGGCACTGGCGACGCCCGTCGTAGACGCGGTGTATGGGCATGATTGGTTGACCAATTTTTACCCGACTAAAATTACGGCAAGCTAAAATTTAGGTTTGCTAAATTCAAGGTTGTTAAAGTTATGGCAAAAAAAACATATATGTGCATTTGGTTGACCGTCAAAATTAAGACTTGTCAATTTTCTCTTTTATTTGGTTTAAAAACTTTAAACTTTGGCTATAAACATTAATGTGTCAATTTTTTTTGACAACGTATAAATTGATGACTATAAATTTTGGCATACCATAATTTTAGTTGGGTAAAAATTGGAACCCAACCAATCAGGCCCTACGTGTGTATCTGCAGCCTTTCGGTGGAGCTGGAATGAAGGCTGCTCGGCTGGCGTGTTTTGCATGTAGCCCCTCACAGGTGTTTGGATTTCAGCACTACGGATCCTTTGGTAGCTTCCATGAATCCCCGGTCACATTTCGTTGGGCTTATAAGTCGTACTTTTTTAGTTAATGAATATTATTTTTCTCTCACAACAAATAAGTCAACGGTATTTTCAGCCATGGCTTATCAGCCCAGCGAATAGAGAGCTATATTAGCTCGTTCCAGGTGTTGCCCCCTTTCCAAAACCACATCATGCCGTGGACATGTCACATGTGATCGACAAGTTAAGTGCATATCTTAGTTTTTTTACCTCTCCTATTACGCCTTTTGCTATTGTCCAAATTTTCTTACTATTGGATAATTAATTGTTGTCCCTTTTCCAAAACCACGTCATTCCGTGGACATGTGATGGACAAGTTAAGTGCATATCTTAAATTTTCTTTACATCTCCTATTACACCTTTTGCTATTGTCCAAATTTGCACGCAGTACCTTAATCCTCGTGTCATGGTTGGCATCTCTTCTCGGGTATCTCTCTTTTTTTTTTTGGAAACTACTTAATTGTTAGTAAAAACCTTTTGTGTTATCAATGGATTTGATTAATCAACACTCACGTTTTGAACACTAGTAACGGGGAGGAAATGGGTGCCAAATGCACTCACACCAACAATTAGTCATTTTACACATTCACATTTCTACAGTTCCTATGAAATCGAATTTATTCCTCTATGCAAATCCTATAAAATTCCTCATTCCAAATAGACCCTTAAAAGTGAGATCATTTCTATTCTTACAAAGGTTTAGCTCTCCTAGTGATAGTGCAACACTACGGCCTTTTATAGTGAATAGTGCATATGAATGTTTATTTATTAAGTAACATACTGCCTTTTCCACGCAAAAACAAAGATCCATATTACTATTAAAATTTAATCTTCTATAATAAGCTGACAGTAGTGTTTCCTTCCTAAAAAGGTATCATCAACTGTTTTCATACATGCGCATATATTTATTTCTCAAAAAGATAAGGTGTCATGTGCAATAAAACTGAGCCTGAGGCCCCCTCCCCCCAGTCCCCCTCTTGTCCGGCCGCCGTTGCCAGCTTGTCTCTCGTAATATCTTACTCATTTTTCCGTTCAAAAAGAAAAGCTTTTCATTTTACACCTCACCTCCCGTCCCCCCCCCACACACGCGACGCGACGCGAGCAGCGTTTGCTTTCCTCTCCCTGCTCTGGTCGGCCTCGCCGCTTCCTCCTCTACCCACGATTCCTCCGCTTTTCCTTTTTCAAAATCGCCCTTTTCTCGTGCGCGTGTCGACTCCTTCCTGGCCTGCTCGCCGGCGGGTCTGGGCTGGGGGGACGCTGCCTCGGATGAGGCCGCGCTGACCGGAGCCGGACCACCCGCCCACCCATGGCGCGTCCGCAGCGAGTGTACGAGGCTTGGAAAGGGAACAATGTAAAGATCCTGTCCTCTCTTTCCTCTGCTCCTTCTCGCTTCATCTTGTTAGTTCTTGAGCCGGGAATCTGGGTTGCACTGTTTGGTTCTTTCGTGGGGAATTCCGCTTCTTGCTGCTGTATGGGATCGTTTTGGTAGAGTTGGTTCGCGCCTGTACTTATGCCAGTGTGTGCGGTTTACTACTCTACTGTTCTCGGCGATTCCAGGCACGAACAGGAACAGTAGGTTGCGTGGGATGCGTGATTCATGTTATCTGCCGTGCGCTGTGAGCCTGTGTGTGTGCGTGTGTGTGTGTGGAACTGTCAATGTGCGGCTCTACTGCATTCTGACGTAGTTCGTTCGTTCTTCTGCAGAAATTCTTCTTTGGTGGGAGGCTCATATTCGGACCTGACGCCAAGTCACTGATCCTGTCTGTTTCGCTCATTGTGGTCCCGGTATTGGTCTTCTGCGGATTTGTTGCTCGGCACCTTCGCCACCATTTCCCGGATTACAATGCAGGATATACGATCCCTGCGGTAGCCGTAGTATTTATGATCTATGTGAGTTCTGTGTGCTGATTCCTGCTGGTATTGATCAGTTAGCATTTGCGATATGCGCTTGGCTGAGCACGGATCGTTGTTTCTCTTCTGTGTAGGTGCTAGTCCTGCTCTTGATTACATCAGCGCAGGATCCTGGGATCGTTCCCCGCGCGGCCCACCCGCCGGAGGAAGAGTTTTCTTATGGGAACGCCTTGTCTGGGGGCACGCCTGGGGGGCTGCAATTCCCCCGTGTGAAGGAAGTAATGGTTAATGGGATGCCTGTGAAAGTGAAGTATTGTGACACCTGCATGATTTATCGGCCTCCTCGATGCTCACACTGTTCGATATGCAACAATTGCGTAGAGCGCTTTGACCATCATTGCCCCTGGGTTGGACAATGCATTGGACAGGTAAATACTGTTATTTCTCTACTGTAATCTAGCGTAATTTTTATGATTTATTGCTTTAGCAAACATAAAGAGGCCATGAACATGTTGATTTCATATGTCTGTCAAAAAAGCCTGTACCTTTCATATGCATATGTCTTGATTCCTGGAATGTCTACGCACCAAGAGAAGAGTTATGCAATATTGGTGTTCCTCTGGTTATTGCTTATGAATGCATTTGCTTCGTTTTGCACTTTTGCTATATGGTGTGATGCTATTCAGTCTGCTTTTAGTTAGGCTATTTCAAGTACTGTAGAACAAGGATCCATTATTCAAAAAAGTACTCTAGAACCATGGTATCAAAGTGCCAGAGGGAGGTTGGAATAACCTTATATGAGTTTTCCTGTATGTGCTTTGTTTGGTGTTGGTTTGTGTCACAGACGTATAATTTCAAGCCTTCTTAACTAAGGTTCAGATGAGATGATACAACACCTCCTAACAACGTGTGTAGTGGCAAGAGAATTTTGGTTCAAATTGTTTGCTCCAATTGGACTAGCTGGATCTGTTCCTAGGCAGAATGAGTGTAACTTTGTCAACTGGTGGCGCAAGACAATGAAAAGGGTGGAGAAAGAGCACAGAAGGGGAGTGATTCTCTAATAATTCTGGGCGCTTGGATTATCTGGAAGCATAGAAATTCATGTGTCTTCTAGGGTGATGCACCTTTGTTTACATTGATTATGAGGGAGTTCAAAGATGAACACAGTCTCTGGTTTTTTTATTAGTGAAACAGGAGGGGTGCGCCCCTTACTGGACTTTTATTAAAACTATAAACAGAGTTTTACATCTCTGGTGCCTAGCCAGAGCTAAGAAGCTGCAATGTTTAGAGCTTGGTGGTAGAATCTAGTTTTCTTTGTAGCTTTGGTCGGGTTGTGTTGCATTTGTCTCAAGTATTCGTCTTTGTTTTGCTGCAAAAACCACGTCTCATATTTGGTCCCCGTATGAGATGAGTGGACTGTATGGGGACCATTTTCCTCTCTAATACAGTGAAGCGCAGCCCTCCTGCGTTCTCTAAAAAAAACTAAAAGTTATATGCATGCCAATATCTGCTCTTGTTTTTTAGTCTTATTGATGCTTATAGTGCATTCCTTTGAAATTTATGGTCAGTTCTAAACGTACGGTCTAATGCTTTCAGTGCATTTATGTCTTCTATGTTTGGATTTGGATAATAGTGATGAAAATTGTGTGATGTGGTGCTCTCTGATGTCTCCTTAGCTTTAGCATAGAAATAAGACGGGTTAAGAAAAAACAGTCATATCATAGCAGCATTTTAATGTTGTTGGCACCATTTGACATGGTTAACACGTTCTTGGTGTTATATACTTAGTATGCCAAACATATAATTGTTGTATTTCCTTGACATAAATGCAATACACTCCATCGTAAGCCTAAAGAACCTTTGGTGGGCATGTAACATGCTTCTTTACTTATTGCTGAATGCTAGGTGGACATGTAACATGTTTCTGTACTTATCATGGCACTCTCAACATAGGTGCATGATTATGTTTCTATTAGGTGGAGTGTGACCTTATTCCAGCCTGACCATTTTCTCAAATATGCATAACTGGCAGTAAATCCTAGGAACTACACATTATATTAGTGCTCCATGATAGTTTGTATAAGTTATGCAATGGCAAAAAGAACTGTTGAATTATGTAATCCAACTAAAATCCCCTCCATGACACAAGATCAGCTACTTGAAATATTTAGTTCTGAGTGAGAAGTGCTCAGAACTTTCATGTTGAAAGAATGATTTCTTACAATCTCTAGGAAATTTTTGTTTCAGTTTCTCTTTTGTTGCCTTCTTTAACCTGATCTTTATTGGTTCACTTTTACATTGTGCAGCGCAATTACCGGTACTTTTTCATGTTTGTTTCTTCCTCGACTCTTCTCTGCATTTATGTATTTGCAATGTCAGCCTTGTACATCAAGTTTCTCATGGACGAGGGTTATCCAACAGTCTGGAAGGCTTTCAAACACTCTCCTGCTTCTTTGGGGCTTCTTATGTATTGTTTCATTGCTCTCTGGTTTGTTGGTGGACTCACTGGATTCCATTTGTACCTCATTAGCACCAACCAGGTTAGTTTCTTCAATATAAGATTTATTAGTTAATTTGTTTTTTCTTGACCAAGAATTTGTTTTCATTCATGGATGCTAGTTCTTTTAAAATATGTACTTGAAAAATCAAATGCTAGACAGAAGTGTCAGTACATGCTCATGGTAATTGATGTCCACTAGCTTAACTGCATCTATTATTTTTGAGTTGGTTCCATGTAAAATATAAAATATCTTTATAGTTTTATGAATTTGTGTAACATAATTGTAGGGATACTTAGCGTTATTTTGGTTTGACCATTTTCTGTTTATCAACTTGAAGAGTCTAAAGTATGCTTTAAAAATGAAAAGGGCACGTTCTTATATATTTTTTCATGTATTTGGGATTTTAGGTTTCTACTAGTCTATATCTATATCTATAGAGTGTACTTTGTTATGTGTCCAACCTTGATACTAGCTATATAATGAATGAAGCAATTCTGCAGTTTCCGTTCTGATGGTTTGATTTTGCAGACCACATACGAGAATTTTCGATACAGATCAGACAGCAGGCCTAATATCTATAGTCAAGGATGTCTGAATAACTTTTTAGAAGTCTTCTGTAGCAAGACAAAACCTTCTAAACACAAGTTTCGGGCCTATGCACAAGAGGAAGTGCGACCTCCAACAGTTAGCTTTGGTAGGGAGGTTGAAGAGGAGCCAGTTGGTGGTCCTCGGTCGAAAGTTGAAGATGATCTTGAAATTGGCAGCGATCTTTTGAAGATCTCTCAGCGGCGCAATTATGAGGATGTTGATGTAGAAATGGGAGGCCCTCACAGGCACAGCAGTGAGATGGAAGGCATAGCCAATGCCAAACTTGTGACATGTTCAGAATCCCAGATTCCTGCAGTTGGGAGTGACGTAAGGGTACGGCACTCAAGCTGGGATCGGCGGAGTGGGAACTGGGACATGTCATCATATGTACTTACGAGAAGCGCCTCAGATGTAATTGAACGTAGCGTGTTTGCCACGGAGGCTGCACATCCATCTCTAGCAGAGACTCACTAGTGAATTGTTTGTGCGTTCAGAACAATGTGTGTGCAGTTTGGATTGCAAGGCCATTTAACTCTTGGTGGCTCACCCGGACAGCAAGGAAGAAAACGCCTGTCATGCATTTTGACTTTGACTGCCTTGATTGGGTTTTCTTTCCGACCCTTGTCAATTGTCATGTATGAGCAACTATTTAGTCAAAGAATTAGCCCCATTGTGCCATGTATTCGTGTGTTTGTGCCATAGTCTCACCTGACGACGTGTTGCGTATGGTCCTGTCTGTAAATTGCCAATGCAGGATTCTCATCCAACTGTAATTCTTCTTCGGCTATTTCTTTGAGAATGCCATCTCGCCTGGCCCTTTTAATCATCTGCACCTCACAGGATTCTAAGGAGCACGGATGCCAGATTTATGTTCAGTTAGGTCTCCTAAAGACCTAAACCGCGTGATCTGATGCCATTGAGTTGAATACCGGAACCATCATTCAAGCAGTCCAAAGCATCCAACAAGCTGCCCATCATCATTCATCTCTTTGTTTGCAAGCATGAAGAACTCTTTGTTTGCTTCTAGAATTGACTCTTGGAACGTTGATGTCTGCTTTGTTTCTAGTGGGAACCCATCCTGATTCCTCGAGAGTATCTTCTGCTGGTCTTCTGGATTCTGACTGCTGCCAAGGACTTACTGGAGGACTGGAGCATGAAGCCCGCTGTGGGCTGTGCTGATGGTGACAAACCATAAGAAGACCTCGCCAGTCCATGCCTCCGACCAGAGCATTAAGGCCAGTTAGGAATTAAGGATCCTTTGGCTCTTGCAATGGCTGTTTTCATTGAATTCATGTGCGGCTGGGTGCTAGAATTCTGGAAAGCTTGTCCTTTTAATCATTTTTGCACGCAAGTTGCAGAATGTTCTGAAAGTGACTACCACTTGCTGACTTCGCAATTGGCCTCGAACCACGTCGGCGAAGTCCACTGGGCAGCAAGCAGTCGAGCGGCAAGTTTGTTGCTTTGCTCTTTGTTTGTTGACTGCACAGCTGATCAGGGCGCCGCAGTTCTGAATTTGGCGATTGTTTATGCTGCATTAGTAAGTCAAATCACTCGAGCGTTTGCCCAAATCAAAAGCCTCTAATCACTGACGTGAAGCATTCTCGTTTCATGCTACGGCATTCCATTGAAAACAAAGCCGTACGAAAGCAGTTTATGCGTGAAGCATTCTGCTTGCCTTCCATATGGAAAAACAAAACGCAGGTTCTACTAATTACAGTACTTAAGCAAACACTGGGTTCTCCCAACTGTGAGAATCTACTTTCTTGTGGTTCTATGACTAGTTCCAAGTTACCGTAAGAATCTTGCGGCGGCTGGCGGCTGCCACACTCCTTTTCACCATTCCTGACGCGTTTTCGACTCATCTTTGGTAGTGATCATTCCATGACAGCTATCAGTCTACCACTACCACTTCGTTGTCCAATTCTCGCATAAATTCCGTGCGATTGCCACATCGGAGCGTGCAATGCAATGCAGCGCCATTAGAGAGAGAGAGAGAGAGAGAGAGAGAGAGAGAGAGAGAGAGAGGGCATGCAATGCAGGCCCCAGAAAACACCAGCAGCAAAGGAGGAAAGAAGGCGACTCTGTGACGTTTTGACCGGACGGCTCTTTTGTTTGTTCCGTTTCACATCGTGCATCGAACGTCTCGATGCCGTTATGATCCATCTGAGCCCTGACATTCTAGCTGATGTGGTTTGAACGATGAGCTGGCTGGCATTGAACCTTGAACGTGATCGACCTGTCGCTCTAGTCCTGTACCAAAGGCGGCGCTGCAGTGGGTTGACCTCTCTATCGCTGCTTCAGAGACTCAGGCTTTGAGCCATGCATGGTCCATGGACCGCGTCGCCATCACAAATCACAATCCACAGATCAAACTGGAATTCGACCATAAACCTCCCCCCAGCTTTGCATCATCTACACGTGTCGGTATATTAGGCTCTGTCTCCACATCCTGATCTGAAGCCAAGGGTACCCTGAAGAATAGATTTTTAGCAAGTCAGAACATATTAGCAAATGAGAGAAAAGACCTTACTACTCCTTATTAAGCTTCTTAACCTTAACTGTACTTACCACTTACCAATAAATGGTTTCAAAATATATTAAATGTTGTTGCACCCACTATCAACCATTATAGAACATGACGTTCAGGAGAAATAAATGGGGTACGCTTGCCGCTGGAAACTCTAAGGAAATAAATGTGCCTGATGGTTATTGTGGGATAAATTTTTAACCTAGAAATATATACTTTTAGGGAGGAAGTAAATAGCTAAGTATGCCTAGAAAAAAAAATGTCACGTCTAAGAGACACCGGCGATGCTATAGATTTGAGATTGACAAATCCTATATAGGTGCTTCGCTATGGACCGATATGTCGCACACCACGAATAAATAATAGCCGTGTTAGCTAGGCAGTCTGGATGTCAAATCTACATAGCTAGTACCTCCATTCTAAAATATAAGGGATTCTGAATGTTAAAAAATGTAAGTTTAACTGTGTTTATAGACTAGAACAATAATATTTGCAATAATCATATTAGCATCATTATATGTACTATAAAATGTACATTAACAATTCGCTTCTTTATGTGGTAAATGTTAATATTTTTCTCTTCAATCATAGTCGAACTTTAAAAAATTAAGTTAGGACAAATATAGAATCCTCATATTTTAGGATGGAGAGAACATGTGATATAACAAACTCCAATAGCATTTGGGATATACTTGTTCCCTGCAATGGAAGAGAGCAATTTTTGTAACGAAAGGTCATATCACTGCCGGTTCTTGCTTGAACCAACAACGAATAACCCACCTATCACTGCCGGTTAAAAACCGACAGAGCATTACTATCGCTCGTCCATTGCATGTTTCAAGAATCAATAGTGATAACCAGTTTGGAACCAATCATTTCTAGGAACTCAAAAACCAAAAGCAATGGCTTGCCAACACTCCATCAGGTTATGTGTGGAGAACCATTTTCCAGAAACTCTTGTGCCCAGCACTTCCTGAAAAATATAATAACCATGTAATTAGGCAAGTGGAGAAACCAAAAGCAATGGCTTGCAAACAATTTATAGAATATATGATTCTTTGTAGTTTTTGAAAATGGCTTCACTTAAACAGGCTGTCCTTACTACTTAGGTAGGGAAGTTCCTAAGTCGTGGCCAAAACATTTTTTTTTGCTGGTTTAATTTGGAAATACGTTATTGGCTCCGTTTGGATCAAAAAAAACTTTTCTTATTCTGATATTTTTCCAGTGAGATTAAATTGATTTCTTTGATTTTTTTTTTGTAAAAATTCTCACGTTCTATAATAAACAGAGCCTAAGCGTTGTTTTGCAACTGCTGTTTCGTAACGTGTGCTTGATGCGTTTTTTCCCCTTTGATATCGTGTGCCTATAGTTTTATATATAGGCACTACTTTTTTTATTATGATGATTCGTGATCTCATCTACAGTGCTTTTCAAAGTGTTGTTGGAGTGTTGTAAAAAAAAGTGTTGTGCTTGTAGGGGCTCCAAGCCCCTCCAATTTCAGTCAAAAAAAAGTGTTGTTGGAGTGTCTAGAAGAGTAGCACCTGTTGAGTGTGTTGACTACTGTGGTACGGTCAACACTCAACACCGACCTTGTACGCTTGGATAAACCGCTGTACAAGCAGAGGCAGATTTTTTTTATAAAACACACACAAACACACAAGAAGAAATTTAGAGTGCTTCAGAAAATAGCTAAGGCACTGCAGTAGACTTTGTCAGAGTAGGAGAACTCGTGTCAATCTTGCCACCTCCACACGATTTCTTTGTTGAAAAAATAATCGTTTAACACGCCATTATATAGCTAGAAAATTTTGATGTTCAAAAAAAAAATAACCATGCATTTTACGCACGCCATTATTGTTGAAGAATGATGAGTTCAGATCGTTTACCACTATAGCAAAGCGCCACGCCGGTTGAGCTATACTATCAAGCAATGTGATGAGATGCGTGCATGCATTTAGAAAGTACTTTTTAGTAATGTGTATTTGCACCCACTCACCTCTATGATCATACACATACTTTACAGTATCAACACCTAGGGCGACTAATAATGTTAAAATTGACAAAGCCACCTCGTCGTCTATTTAGGCTTGTCTCTATAAATGTTTTTTTTTCAGAAAAAATAGCACTCTATAGGATCACATCGGCAGCTACAATTTTAACATACGTACGGCCTCGGTTCGGATAGGCGGATAGCGCAATTTGACCAAGGTTGACCCATGTCGACACTCGTCACAAGCTTGGCAGATCCATCCTCCACAAATTAAAAAAAAAATAGGAGTATTAATTAGCAACCGAGGGCTGCCGTGACGCTTTGACCACTCTCCCAATAATAAACGCAAAATAATCGGGGTAAACAGCCCGATGGCACGAAGACTGGCAACTCTCAACACGCGACTTGATCATTCGCCTACTTTACCTAAAATTCATACGGAGTAGTAAAATTTAATAATTAAGTCAATAATCAATGCATGCAGTTTAGAGGGAATTCATTCGGCTGAACAGGGGCCAAGTGCGTGCTTTTCTCGGCGAGCAGCAGCAGGTACCGCGCGCGGTCGGTCAGCGGGCGACCCGGTCCAAATCTGAACCGCGCATTATTTTCCCACCTATCACTGCCGGTTAGAAACCGACAGAGCATTACTATCGCTTGTCCATTGCATGTTTCAAGAATCAATAGTGATAACCAGTTTGGAACCAGCAGTGATAGGTTATTTTTTATAGTGATTGTAGTCGAAAATATCCATGTTTAATGTTGGAGTGTTATCTTAGTATAGCGGAACATTTTTTCTGGAATTACATATTATAGGCGTCGACATACGCCTCTTAAACACACAAACGCAAACCCTATCCATATGAGCACCTATAAAAGACTGTGATGGTAAATCTTGAGATTGACAAAGTCATCACACCTCTTGTGAATTAGGCCTTATTTGGTACTTGGTAGGGCTTCTTTTGGCTCTAGCTCCTACGAAGAACCCAACATCCACCAGCTCCTAGTTCATTTAGGGGGAGAGAGAGAGAGAGATGGCTCCTTGCTATAATACATAATATTTTGTAGAAGTTGGAGCCATTTTGTGAGGAGATGCTCTCCCAAATAGGGTCTTACACAGTACATATGCAGATGCCCACAACACACATGCACACTCATCTCCTATGAACACATGCATGCAAACCTTAAGCGCTTGCAAAAAAATTGAAATTTCAAATCTCGATATGACAAAGTCACCATAGGTGTCATGCGAATTACACAGTAGAGATGCAAATGCCCACAACATGCAAGGACACTCACCTCTATGAACATAGGCACGAAAACCCTACTCCTATGATCACATTTGAAAGATTGGGTCAGTAGATTTTGATATTGATGAAGTCACTACACGCGCCTTATTATCGATGGGTATGTCACATATCATAAAAAATAATGTTGTTAAATCCTAAAATAATTATAAAAAATGCAAACATCCATGCCAAGTTGACCAGCGGTGGTAGAAACTTGATTCAACAGTGGCAATGTAGGGTGAAAGGAAACTGTAAACGTGAAGTGACCATAGTGTCAACCGCGTCGTACATTGTCTCTTTCAAGTTCCCATCGATAGGACCGGTCGCATTGCAGCCTTGCAGGCCGTTTGATTTCAGACTTAGCCGTGTGTGCAAGTCTTCAACTCTTCATG